AATGCATTTCAGCCTTTTTACGACCTAAAATTCGAAATTACGGTCGAAATGAACAAAAAGATCATACAATATCATACAATATTTAGATGTTGAATTTAACCTCTCTGTCAGCTCTGACTCTCCATATATGAAGCCAAATACTATAGTTAAATATATAGATTCCAAATTCAATCACCTTCCAAGCATTATTAAGCACTTCCTGAAGGATATCGAGTGCAGACTTTCAAGAATTTCGTCAAAACATATCTTTGAATCAAAGAAAAAAAGCGTATGAAGCAGTATTGAGAGCGGAGAGGCACAAAAACAAATTGAACTTTAATCCTCAACCCAACCAGCAATTGAGGAATAAAAATAGGAAGAGATATATTATCTGGTTCAACTCTTTTAATTTAGAAAAATAGGAAAATATTTTTCAAACTGCTCACTAAGCATTTCCCAATGACTTCTAATTAAGACAGAATTTTTAACAAAAATACTGTAAAATTAAGTTATTACTGCACCTCTAGATGATAATATAAAGAAACACAACACTAGAAAGTTCAAGACCGACGCACAGCATAGCAACAACACTGGCATCATCCCCTGCAACTGCAGGGATAAAAACAAGTGACCTTTGGATGGTAGCTGTAATACTGTGAGCGTAGTCTATAAGACTGAGGTAGAAGATTTCACAAGGCAGAACAAAGTCTACATGGCCTTCCTTTAAATTTGAAAACCATAGGCGTTTTACCATGCTGGTCAGCCATATGTAGGAGTTCAAAAAGAGATACAATAGAAGCCCCAGTATAAGATGGAGTGTTCTGAGAAGGGTTAAGTCTAGTGGCAATGTTTGTGGGTTGTGTCAAGAGGAAAAGCTGGCATAGTGACATACCCGGACAGTGTCAATTTCTTGAATCAACAATACAAACCCGGATGATTATACTAACATTTTTTTTTTCATCCCTCTTCCAGTTCTTCCAACTTTTTCCTCATCTCTTCTGATATTTCTACTTTGTAGTACTTAGTTAAGTTATATAAGCAGGCTTTTAATAGTACTACAAATTAATTATCTACTAGTAACCACCCGGTGAAACAGTAAGGTTGAAACCCAGGTAGTGCGGAGTGTGAATTTTTTCAAATTTTTTATATTATTATCTGCTCTGCATGTTCAATTTTATAAATTGTGTATTGAGCACCTTTTTAAAATATCCATCCATTGGTCTGACCTAACATTTTATATATATATATATATATATTATATATATATATTATATTATTATATTCAGATACTTTGGGTTGTGACAATCATTGTCAAGAACTGGGTGTTATCAGTATGATGAAATTTATTTGACTAAATTTTGGTGCTTCAGATTATTGAAATTAGTTCAAAGTGAAGTGACATAATTTGTAACAGATTAATGAAAAAATCATGCATCAAATATTTGTACATGTTTTTTTTCTTTCTTTCTTACTCTGTTCATATATATAAATACTTTTACAAACTTTAGGAGCAGGATCCTCGCATTCAATAAGGACAAAAGCCCAGATAAACAAATGTCCTCAAATCCTTTGTGTTTGAAATAAGTTTCGAGAAAATTTACAGTAGATGGTGCTATGTTGGTATGTAGACTAGGTTACATTTGTCATTCATGTATATTTGTGGCTAGTCTGTCTTCAACATTTAACGTGTGTACTAGTAAGTTAACTGAGAAGTGTTCTGTTTAACAATGGCAGGATATTCATATCATGAACAGGCAGATAGGATTTTTATATACAGTCATACAAATGGTAATGAATGTGAAGCTGCATGGGTGTATCAGATTGCGTTTCCAGACTGAAGGCAGCCGAGTCATCCAATCTTTGCTAGTGTTTATCATCACATTACTGAGACAGGATCCATGGCACTACAAACAATGGTGATAAGTATTTTTGGATTGTATATCAGATTGTACATTTAACAGCAACTCCCATAAACTTTAAACATATTAACTCAAAAATGAAGAATTTGCGGACATATGTTTATAAGAACTTTTGTCCTTGTTTTGATGTGAGGAATCCACCCTCCAAGTTTGTAAAAGTATTTGATACACCCTCTATATATGTGAGTGTTCTGTGAATTTAGTCATATATATATATATATTTCTAAAATGCGGTATTATGTACACTATTTACATTATTCAGGCTATTGTCCTCATCTTTGTTGCCATATTTATTACAACGTTTCGGCCATTGTATGCTCTGACCTTCTTCAGGTGGTTGGAATGTCGAACTGAACCCTTTATTTTGCTCACTGGCATAGATTGTTCTAGTTCCACGTGCCATGTTTAATGGATGTCAGTTGTCAGTTATCTCCTGTTAATTCTCATCTCCTTGAGGACACATGGCACAGTGGATAAAGGCATGAGTTAGATCCAGGGACAGGACCCAAAGAGTGCGAGTTCAATACTCTGTTAAGGCAGTGGATAACTTGGAGAGGGGAATTAACAAGAGATAACTGACATCCATTAAACATGGCACATGGAACTAGAACAGTCTACCCCAGTGAGCAAAATAAAGTGTTCAGTTTGACAGTTCAACCACCTGAAGAAGGCCGGAGCATACAATGGCTGAAACGTTGTAATAAATATAGGGACAAAGATGAGGACAATAGTCTGAATAATGCAAATAGTGTATATATATATATATATATATATATATATATATAAAAAGCACACAAGGGCTGTTGAGAAAAGTTTTTTGACTAAATGCCCTTCCCAATATCTGGCAAAATGCACAGAATACTCTAATATATATATATATATATATATATATATATATATATATATATACACACACACACACACACACATATGAAAAATTATTGTTATTATTCTTAATTTATATATTAAAATGCTTCATTGAAAGGTTAAAAAATATGTAAGGATAAGGAAAACGAATATTATATTCTCATTTAGAGCAAAATGTCTCTTGACAGAAGTTTGAGTGATACATCCTATTTCATCTTGAATATCCTGAATATTTCTGTGTCAGAGACAAAATGATTCCAGAAGAAATTAGAAAACTGGATGAACAAGCATTTGAATTTGATATCTGAAACTGCACATCTAAATTACAAAGGTCTTTTGAAGTGGGTTTGATTGACACTTCCTCTTGTTTATACTCAGCCTTGCACATCAAAATCAAATGACACAAGAATGACATAATTTACTCAAGAAGCATATTTAGCAATAAGTATTTTAATAGCATGAATAAGATCATGGAAAAGAGTTTCGGAAAGAAAGAAAAAAAAAATCTAAGTCATGAAAGGAAGTTGAACTGGTAACTCCCAAAATGTACTTCCCTTATCTAAAGACATTAAAATTCAAGAAACTTATGACCTTGTATCATTTTTATAGAAGTAATAACTAACCTAAACGACTCTGCATCCAGTTTAAACAATATAGTCACTAAGATGTTACTATCACAGACTTAATAAACCACAGAAGATTAGCAGGTACATTAGCATTTCAGCAGTCTTTTATGCTCCTATATTATTCAATGCACCACAAAGTTACTCTTCTCTCACAATATATATATATATATATATATATATATATATATATATATATATATATATATATATAATTATAAATAATTATATTTATGCTCTACTTTTGTATCGAGCACTATTTTAAAAAAATAATAACTAAAATACTAAGGGACTTTGGATTATTTACCTAACCAGTTCCTTCCTATTTTCTATATATTTTCACATATATATATATATATATATATATATATATATATATACTAGCTTAAAAACAGAATTTAAGAATTTATGTAATAAAAACATGGTAATCCAAAATTCCAGAATAGCAGATCCAGATCTGACGTGAAAGGTTTTTAATTTGTCCACAAAGTTGGCCTGATTCCAAAATAGTATGATGTATTGGGCTACATTAAAAAAATTTATTAGCTAGTAGCATAAAATAAATAAAAATAATCATTAATTAAAAAGTGTGAAGACAAATGTTAAATAGTCTAAATTTAATAAATATTTCTAACTTTCAAATTTCATGAGGTATTTTCAAGTCTTTGTTACTGTTTGCTGTTTTTAATATTCAGGGTAAGAAAAGTGAAATGTTCTTTCTTCTACCATTGCCTTCAAGAAAAAATTTAATTTCTTTTACTTTGTAAAAAATTAGTTATTGCAAATAATTTTTACTTTTGTGGCAACTGTTTGGTTGAGTTCTTCACTATGGTACCAAGACTTTATCAATTTAAGTGCAGTGCTAGACTGTTGACAAGGTCTTACCAATTTACAGAGTTGGTTAGATGTAACTGCAAATTCTATGCTAACCATTTCTTTTCTTGCACTTCTCACTTGTGGAATTCTTTTCAGATTATGATTTCCAGTCAACTTTAATCTTCAAAAATTTAAATGCAACGTCAATCCCTATCTCCTGTCCTCTTTTTTTAATCATTTTTTGCTTTCACTCCTTAGTAATGTTTCTGTTTTCTAATTTTTCCATGCCCAGTAATGCATTGTGTCTTAGTGGCTTTACTACCTTGCTTGGGGTGAATGCAATTAAAAACATATGTACATATCCCTGGCCGTTTCATGTTATACATAATCTTATGACAGGGATTAAGGAACAATGCAAGAGAATTTTTCTTCTTGCATTCAGTGTTCCTCAATGTCCATTTGAAGATGGTGCATAGCGTGAAATAGCCAGTTGTAGAAATATAGGGGTATGTGTATGAAGATTGATTGACTGGTCCACTTTTTTATGGTTTATCAACCCTTTCTAGGTTATTTAAAGCCAGACAATAGTTTTAGATTGTAAGAATTTCTTTTTATCTAACAATGGTTTAGTGATACAAGTCTTACTAATTAACCCATAGTTTAGGAGAGGCGGATTCATACTTTTCCAAGGGTATTTGTATGCAAACAAATATAATGAATGCAACTGGATTTGGAACTCTGCTCTCTAGTTAACAAATTCAAGCCATTATTCATTACACCACCTGCACATCTAATCTTACAGCACCAAGTATTCCCAAGCAGTCATCTATCTAGGTACTGACCAGGCTCAATGTTGCTTAAATTCAGTGATCTTACAGGAACCAGTGTTTCAACATGATGTGGCCATACATATGAAGAATTCTGTTGCAAATGTTAAATCTTTTCACTTCACACACATGCATTAATATCCCTATCATCAGCAGCAACCACTTTTCTGCTTTTGGGCCTGTGCAGTAAATCTGAAGAGACTAGTTATATTTCACTGTGGTCCGAGATCAGGACAGGACACTAAAATTATTGTTCCATGTAGTTGTAGCTGCACATAGCTTAGACTATACACCTCACTCACTTGCTGATTCACAAGCAGAATAAGTTTGACTTTTACTTCATTATTTACAGAGACTTAAGAACATTCTATGAAATTTTTTCTAGATACAAAATACAGTGTAACTCGGATATAAGAGAGTTGTCGGGACTGGAGAAGAAGTCTCTTATATCCGGGTTTCTCTTATATCCGGGTTTGGTCTATTTTGTTTAGGTAAGTATGGGAACACTTTGGGACCAGAGAAAATCTCTCTTACATCCGGGTTACACTGTATTTCTATCTCATTTTGCTTTACTCTTTTGTCTATTTTCTCAACTAAGACAACACTTTTAGTTTTTGTTCAATAAACAACTTCTTTTTATGTGACATGTCCTTTCAGGACGTAAGCGATCATGGCTCTCCACCTCCCTCTATCCCTTGCAGCTCTCAGCAAGTCCCTTAACCTCTGTTTACTCCCCCAGGCCACGTTCTTTCATCCACTTGCTTAAAGCCGCTAGGTATGACATGTGTTGTTTTCCCTTGTCTCTCTTTCCCTCTGTTCAACCTGTGAGTATCAGATTCTCCAGACCTTCCTTCCTCATTATCTATCCCAGGAACTTCAGCTACATCTTCCTGATGTTATAAGCCTCCTCTTTGTTTGCATCCTCTCTTAGACGTCATAATTTCTCACATGCTCAGTCCATGATATCCTTAGCATCCTTCTGTAGAACCACATCTATGTCGCCTCATGTCTCTTCTTCATCTTTGAGGAAATCGTCCAACATTCGCTGCCGTAAAGAAGGGCAAATGTCATGTAACAGCTCAGTTTTGTCATCCACCTGCTCCAGCTCATCAGGTATGTCATGCACTGCTTTCCCTTGTCTCACTTTCCCGCTATTTGACTCGTGAGTATCAGATTCTCCAGGCCCTTCGTTCTCATTATGTGTCCCAGAAACTTCAGCTGCCTCTTTCTGAGGTTAAGTATAAGCCTTCTCCTTGTTTGCAACCTCTCTAAGTCCACATCATTGTTTACATGCTCAGTCCATGATATCCTTTGCATCCTTCTGTAGAACCAGATCTCTATTGCCTCGAGTCTCTTCTTCATCTTTGAGGAAATTGTCCGACATTTGCTGCCATAAAGAATAACAGATGCCACGTAACACCTCAGTATTCTTTTAACACCTCACTTAATAACTCATTTCTTATGATTGTTCTTAAATTTTGGCTCTGTTGTTAAGAGATGGATTCATATCTTTCCCAGTGGTATTCTGGCAAAAGTGAATGCAACAAACTCAGCTTTACTGATTTCTCTTTCCAGGCTATTGTTACAGATCTTATGTGCCATGTCCCTTCAGATCTTATGTGCCATGTCCCTTACAGATCTTATGAGCCATGGCTCTCCACAATTTCCTGTCCTTTGTAGATCTTAATAAATTTTGTCTTTTTGTTACTTCTCAAAATCCCTGTTTCAACAACCATTTACTTAAGTTCACTAAGTATGTTATGCATTGCTTTCCTCTGTCCCTCTTGCCTTCAATCTGTCCTGTGAGTATCTGATTTTCCAACCCTCTTTCCTTATTATGTGTGCTAAAATTTTCAACTATCTCTTCCTGATGCTAAGATTTTTTTTTCTATGTTCTGTAAAATTTTGTCATTGCTCACATGTTCCATCCATAGTATTCTCAACATCATTCTGTAGAACCATATTCAAGTCTCTTCATCTTTGAGGAGCTTGTCCTACATTCACTGCAATATAAGAGGACAGATATAACATAACAATTCAGTGTTTCCGAAACTTTTCTGTTTCTTAATACTCTGCTTAGATTTTGGAATGCATCTTTGGCTATCCAAATACACCTTCAGATTTTAAATTAAAAAAGCCATTTTTAATACTCTTAGTGACTTCATAACATATGATGACACTGGATTGACCAATATATTGATTTTTAGATCAACTGATCATTAACATTTTTGTAAGGATTTATTTCCAAATAACATTTATAAGGACCAGTAAAAAATTTAGTCCAATGGCTTTGTATTTTAATATTCAGCTAATTCAAGTATAGTATAGTATATAATATAGCTGGCCACTCATATTCGAGGATGCCCGTCTACTAGGGCAGCTAGCCAATCCCTACTGAAGACACTTGTTCAGGCATACCAGTGGTTTATACCTCAACTATGCTGAGCAGACCTTAGTTACAGTTTCTGGGAAAGAGGGTGTTATTTAGCATGATCAACAACTTGAACAAGGCATGCTCAAGTCCTTGACCACAATGACTTGCGACTTTGTGCTAGCACAGCTATCGACCGCACCCCCACCAAGGGTTCTGTCTACCCAATTTCACTCACAAGACTTGGGTCAACCCGTGGCATGGTTTTCAGGCACTTTCCAAAGGTACCACACCTTGAGATTGACCCCTCCAGTCCAATAATATCAGAAAGTCTCCTTCCTGACAAATCGACCATGGTGAGATTTGAAACCAGGTCTCATGGTCAGAATGCAAATGTTCTAACCATTCGTCCACATACCAATGCTAATTCAAGTACAGTATAATAATTGACCATTTAGGCTTCTCAATCATCATTGTTTATAAAAAAAAACATAGTTTGCAACCTTTGCACTTACTTACTAACTGATTAAGTTTTATAGTGTCCGTATTATTTATGCTATCAAAGAATCTAAACAATTTTCAACAATCCCCAAATGTGCCTGACTTTGGGGACAAAAATGTCTTTTCATTTTAATTCACAGCTGCTAATTGTTTGGTTGTCTCCACCCTGAAACTCTCTGCATTTACTCATAGCAAGAATGACTAAAACAATGGCCTATAAATAGGCTTTTTTCCTAATGTGAAATGCTGCAGTTGTTATTTTGACAATTAATCTAATTACTACAAACCTAGAATTGACCTCATTCCTTGGACTGACTTGCTATCTACATTTTTACAGATAGAGTTATCTTTCCTTAGTTCTGTCAGGCCTTCACCTTTATATCATAGTATAAAAACTCCATGTTTCCAAGAGAAACTTATCTGCCACATTTCTTTGGTGTTACTTCATATATGAAACTGGTGCCAATGTAAAAAAGAAGGCACATGGAAATTTGTGATTTCAGAATTGCAAGCAGGATGTCATTATTTAAAGTGGAACAGTGAGGGGTGAAGATTGGAAGAGTTATGTAGAGGGCTTGTTTTGTTTTGTTTTTATCCAATGATAATCATAAACACTAAGTAATATTACTGTCTGTGGTTGGTGCTAAAAACTATACAAAGTCTAGCAGATAAAAGACTGAATGATAAAACATCTGACAAGTGATGTCACCATATATACTGGAGTATTCACAGCTCCTAATGAAATATTCATCATCATCAGTCCAATGACCAAATGTGGTCATAGGGTCACTACACAGCTGAGCACCTGACCAGCTCCCTCCATATGTCTTGATTGCATGCCAATGTCTAATTTTCTAATTTTATCTAATTTTCTGTGAATCATCTTCCAGTCCACTCAGGGAAAAAAAAAAAAAAGGAGCACCAAAAGAATGGTTTTTCCTTTGACACCACTATTATTTTAACTACCTTCACTCCTCAGCAATGTTTATGGTTTTAAGAAGTGATGTTTAGAATTGTAATAAAACCTAAACATATGAAAGTGAATTGATACATTTTCTTTGTTCTTGAGAATTTAAAACAAAAATATTAAACACTCTTAGATTGTTTATTTACTTATTTACTATATTGTTTATGGAATGGCTGGCAAGAAAACAATAGCTAATTGCCAACCGATTCAAAATTAATGAAATGGTAAATACGGATTTCCTTAGAGCTGGTTCACATATTTTAATAATTTAGTAAATGGTTATAAATTTAAGATGTTCATATTTATTTCTTTAGAAACTGGGAAAATAATAAATATTGCACTGCATTAGTTTTAATTGTAATAGATTTTAGAATGTTGTAAATAAAAAAAATCTAATAAATAGTGTTTAATTTTTTGTTGTAAATTCTCAAGAACAAAGAAAATGTATCAATTTACTTTCATCAGATGTTTAAATTTTATTACAATTCTAAATATCACTTTTTAAAACAATAAACATTGCTGAGGAATGAAGGTAGACAAAAATAATAACAGTGTCAATGGAAAAAAAAAACATCCTTTTGACACTTCATTTTTTGTGAGCACAAAAGTCCAAGTTTGCCAATTTTCTTTAAAAATATTTTCTTTGCAGCACAATTAACTTCTTACAGGAATCAAGAAATCACCATTTGGTTTATAGATCAAAAAACTCCTACCTGCATAACTATTCAAAATGGCACGAGTATTTGGTACACAAGAACATGTCACTATGATTACAAGAATATTCTGAGAAATGGAATTTGGGGAATAAGCTCAATTTAATGCAAGAATTTAGTAATGATTTCTCAGCAAGAGAAGGATGAAAAGCCCTGGAAATATCTGGAGTATTAAGAAGTGACTTGAGGTAATAGGAATGTGGTTTTACAGAAAGATGCTGAGAATACCATGGTCTGAACATGTGAGCAATGACAAAGTTTTAGAGAAAATGGAAACAAAACAGACAATGGAAACAGAGACAATTGAAATTTCTAAGGCACATAATGAGAAAAGAGGGCTTGGGAAATTTGACACAATCAGGACAGATCAAAGGCAAGAGAAAAGCAGTCACATAACCTACCTACCAACCTTGTGTAAATGGTTGGCAGAACAGAGACTAGGAAAGATAACAAAAAGACAAAATTTATTAAGAGCTAAAAAGTATAGGAAATTGTGGAGAGCTATGATTGCCCACATCCTGAAGGGA